ATGTATGTAAACGATACAAAACAAAAGAATGTGTTGTGGTTGCAATGTTTATATAATGACCATCACGGTTTTACTATTTACCGTTTTATTTTTAATTTAGACTTCCTAAAAGAGCACAACTTTTTTTGTTTTTTTTTTCGTAAAGATAACAGTAAAATAATAGTCATCACAAGTTCCACACCACGGTACCCTTCTTTTACTATAAGGATTTTTAAAGTAAGAAAGAGTACTTGTTGTTTGGCAAAAAATAAGTTGTTTGGCAAAAAAGAAGTTGTTTGGCAAAAAAGAAGTTGTTTGGCTTTACATATACTCGAAACATTTTGCTTCCGTCGCGCTTGTGTCCTAAAGTAATCTAATTTTTATTTTTCACTGTCAAACATGTGGTGAAAATGCGATTAACAATGTCTATAGTGCAGGGATCGAATTCTGTTTGCTCACAAACACAGCTCCGTAAGCATATATCTATGTCTGTAAGCATCGTACACGACATGCCTTTTAGGAAACATTATGTACACACTAGGTAAAGAAGACAGCCAGGTCATGACATGACATTTAAGCCAAATCTTCCCAACAACGGAAAAGGTTTTAAAAGTATTTACCATTAATAACTAGTACTTGAACAAACATCCAGATCTGGATCAATTATTAGTAGGCCATACAATAATTTAAAATTTAAAATTTTGTACAACCGACTTCAATGTAAATTATTAAGAATAACTCAAATAAAAACAAAACATTTATATGGGACCACATGTAAAGCACCAGCTTTAAAATAAAAAAAAAGAATCATCGAAATCGGTTTACCTAGAAAAAAATTAGGAGGTAACAAACATAAAAAAACATACTGTCGAATTGAGTACCGTCTCATTTTTGAAGTCGATAGAAAACTTATTCCATGCGGGATAAGAACTTTCCACTCACAATATCACAGCCGTGATGTATGTTAGGGTTGACATACACTAAGCGGTAAATGTCCCTTAAATTATTGTAGAATAAAAAAAAATAAAAAATGCTTAGAAAACATCACAGCCAAGTGCTACTGCATCAGTCAAGCCGTCAAATACTCATATATCAGATGGACATGGACGTAATCTTTATGTAAAGCGGATTTGATTAGATGCTCATGTTATTAAGATACTTTACACTTTTATTGAGTAGTTGGCATAATCCTTCATAATGTTTCCCTTTACCTTCTTTTTTTTTTCGTTCAGAATTGACTAAAGAAAAAACTGAAAGTGCTTGGAAACATTAGATTTAACCTTTGTAGATATTTTTTTTAAACAATTTTGGATAAAATAAAATAATGAAATATTAAAATTAATCTGTCTGTTATTAATATCTTTCCTAAATTCCATCAATAACGCTTTTCACTTCTTTTAAATTCAGGTTACACTTGAACACCAATCCAATTAAAAAATAAACTTACGACTTCAGAGAATTTATCTGTAAGTAAATATTTTAATTAGTTAGGTACCTTTTTTTGTTAAGAGTTTCTTAAATTCGATTTGAATTGATAAAAATCCCGTCTTTTTTCTAAAATTGCCAATTTCAGATCGTTTTGTCTTAAGTTGTGTTTGAGGCAGAAATAAGTTCATAAATTACATACATGAATAATTTCAAATTTCAAATGAATTTAACTTCCGTAGAACCATGCAACTTTGGTATTTTCTGCTCCCGACATCCCGTGTTGACTAGGAGAGAATACCAAAAGGTATTAAGGCACCCCCCCCCCCCTATCTTTCGAATTTTTTTATAATGAACAACAAAATAAGACACCTCACATTTTTTAGAATTTACTGAATTGCATAAGGTTTTACTGTCATCGTGTCCGATCTGAAATCTAGACTTAGATCTGGCAAAATCCATTCCAAATCCTAAACTCATATTCTACGGAGCTGGTGACGAGCGTTGTAAGTATGAGCAAATATTCCAATCAATGCTAGCCAGCTAGTGCATTCTTGAAAAGCCTATGCAAGCAATGCTTGGAATGTCTAGCAATGGATTTAAGAATGTTGACAATGTCATGTGACTCTTAATATGCATTAACAGATTTATGAGAAAAATATTACCTGGGGCCCTGCACGTATTCAGTAATACCATAATAAGAATATGTCTTCCTGTTACGCTAGCTAAAAATAGAAAAGATTTTACTTAATTTGTTATTACGAATATAATTAGCCACATGTAAAGAACTACATCGTTGTTCTTGTCACGCAAGGTTGTTTTTATAGTCTATTTAGCTCAGCACATATAGTAACAGTAGGTAACATTTATTAATATTGTCGAATACTTACAATCGATTCATATGAAATTATGAATGACGATGGTATATATTTATTACTGTGAAAACTGAATATTATTATCGATAATTGTTAACTATTTGTCTGACTATATATTTTTGTGCTTCAAGTGTACCTATGCACTATAAAAAAGATACGATATTCCCAAATGACGGTCATCCTATTTGTAAGCGAAATAACAATGGAGGTTGAAGTGTGACTACTTTTATACCCTTACGTAACCTTAAGTAACCTTAACCTTTTTAAAGTCATATAAGCCTACCTATATCAGCGGATCATAACTTCAACACTTTTAGATCGGGAGAGAAAGGAGACGGGCGAAAAATCATAGAAAGTTCGGCCTGATGTTTCTGTAACGATTACTGCATTGTTTTATTTATATACTAATACCATTATGAAAAAACTAACATGTTTACGACTGCTCCATGGTAAAAAAAAATAGGAAGTTGAAAAAAATATAGGATGTTATTGGTTTGTACAAAAACAACGCAACGCATTACGTTTATATTTTTGTACTGTAAAAAAATCAATAATAACATTTATAAATTAACCTTGCAATTGTAGTCACTTGGCGTAACATCAGCTATATTTTTGTCATTTGAATATTTGCTTTACAATATTTATTTAAAATTTATTAATTTACTAACTATAAAAACCGACCGGTTTGTCGGAAACAGGCCGATTTGTCGGAAACTGGACGGGTTTTTGGATTTTGTAGTTAGTAAATTAATAATTTAAATAAATCTATTAATAATAGTTATTTTAATAAATATCATCATCATCATCATTACAGCCCTTCACAAGTCCACTGCTGAACATAGGCCTCCCCCAAAGAATGCCACAAAGCACGGTCCTGAGCCACCTGCATCCATCGACTTCCTTCCAAATCACAAAAATAAAATTTATGATACAAATGGACGATCCTATACACATAAAATTTGTGATAAAACTGTTGTTATTGCTATTAGCGGCAATCAGTTTATTTGATTTGATAACTTAAACGACTATAACCGTGTACAGAAATGCAATGTCCTAAATTTATAAGAAAATTTTGAGTCATGCAAACTTGTCAAACAAAAAAATATTATTATTATTCTCAGTTTTAAATGTTAATTTTATCTCGTGTTCATATTCAGCGATAAAGGAACATTCGCAGGAACCCCACATCGAGGGGAAAACAAGTAAAATAATTAAAAAAAAACTTTTTCGTAGACATGTACGGACCGCGATTTCTTTTTCCTACTCCAAAACCTTCCCCAAAAAAGAAAGAAGGTGCCCAGCTGTGGGACGTACCTTAATTTATAAAATCATTAATATTTTGTTCAACATATCGTTCTTGAATATCGCGATATTTGACGGTATTTAAGTTCACATCGGAAACCCATATCAGACTGTAGGGAAATTAGTCATCTGGTCACTTACCTACTACGAACTGCTAACAATTGAATATATGAACTCTTACTGTACTGTACTGTAGTGAAAGCATGCCAAATACTTTGCGAAAATTTATTATATTAGGTGCCTATAAAATCGCTGATGTATGGGAACATTTAATTAAAAAGAAACGTTATTTAATCAAAATATTTGCCAACACTATTAACAAAATCTTGCCATTTTATGAACAGTTTGTTTAAGAATCAATTCAGTTTGAGAATCGATGAGCTCATTGATGTTTTTTTTAATGATTCTTTGGAACTAGTTTATTTGGCTATCAAAATGTCATCTTTACTTTGAAAAACTTGAAAAAAAACCTTCCGACCCGCTTAACGTATTCAAGTAATCATAACGTAAATTAAGGTTAAGTATAGAAGAGCGTTCGACAGGGCGAAGCGGTCGGTGCATGACAAACACAAGCCCTTCGACTAACGACTACCGAAAAGAGCAGAGCCAGGCCCCATCACACCTGTTCCGACGGCGGTTCTCTTACTCATCTATGGAACGCAAAACCTGAGTTCGATAAAGCTGTGAAAGCCAAAACGCTAAAATCGTTAACATTATAGAAACTAGATCGAGTGCTCTAGGTTGCGAGCTAAATATATATGTTACAGTTATTAAAACTCTTTAACCCTAACTGAAAAATTTAAATAGAATAAAGAAAATAAAAACTTTTATTAACTAAAGGCTGGTTTATCAAAATATTTGATTATATTTAACACAACATAAATAAAAATTACGGTATTAATAAAATAGTTAAATTGTTTCTCTTTTTAATTAAGGCAGCTTTTAATTTATTTGATAAATAACTTTTATCTGAGAATCAGGAAATGGGCCCTAAGTCAATAAACTTAAATTTAACGACCGCGGACAGAAATGTAAAATCATTCCGCAATTTTTATCTAGCATAACATAATTTTTATCTAGCATATCTATCAGTGAATGGCCAGTAGAGACTTCTAATACGGTTAGGACCAGAATCATGCTTTAAAGCAATCTATGTGGGAAACCTATAATCTAGACTGTTGTTGTGATGTATTGTAGGCCCGTAAAATATAATAATAGAAAAGAAATTGTTAAAGGTCCCAATAATGCAATATATCCATATAAATATTTGGAATTGAATGAAACTGTTGTACTATAAAGTAAAAGTGTCAATTGTAACAAGTGCGCATATAAAAATGTACAGTGCTATGTGAAACTGAGAATCCAACATAAAAACAATATTAAAAATAATGAAAATTATTGTGTAATACAAATATCAAGATGGGAAGAAGAAACGTAAGCATGATGCGGTTAGGGCGATGCGTGGCCTTTCTGGCCGCTGCAGCATTCCTTTTGCCGTTCACCATCTTACTTATGGTGTTCGACCAACAGTACAACTTCACTTACAATACCAAACGTGTCTTCTATCAAGAGGTAAGTGTTTTATTTATTTCATAAAATTAAGAAGTTACCTAACATTACTTTTCCTTTTTAATCGTTGGTCTTTACAAATCCATGATAAAAACACCTTAAGTATGTTATTTCATGTTCTTTACTTCATAGTGATCATTATCTATGGTTAATCATTATCTATTTATGGCATAATTTAGGATTGCATTACAAAAAAAATTCTTAAAGCTTTCTAGAAGCATACTATTATTAGACCTTACATTCACGGTGCTTGAATTAACTTTTTTGAACTTTATTATTAAATTTTATATTATGTGTTATTTTTTGAATATTGTAGCCTTAGAGTATGTACACGTACAGAACCATTTATGTATACTCAAGATAATGATTTTAACACATTGTAGGGCACAAAATGTTAAGTCAGTTATATTCTGTTACAATAACACCTTTTAGTTTTAATAGGTTTGGGTTGGTTATGTGTTTCGTTAAAAATAAAACAAATATCATGATAGACAGGATATCCGAAAAGTGATTGCGTGTAAATTAGATACTTGTGATTCAACAACAAGGACTTTGATACGACATTTCTTCGCGAAAATTTCAAACGTGATTGGAAAAACTATACACGCTGTGGACGTAATTTCACGTGATACTCCTACATTTAAATCCTGAACTAAGACTTTGGATTAAGCGGTACCGCCTTTCGAAAGTGTCGAATACATTTCAATATTTCTTCTTTTACAGAGCGACTTCTATAAAATAAACGGGACGCTATACGCGCCCGCATTCACGATAACAACCACTAGTGTACGGACCCAGGTAATTAATAAATAATTTCAAATTGACACCTAACTTGAAGCTAAATTTGCACCTGCGCTTCACTAACTCGTACTAACAAAGGTCTGGAGACGACTTTGCACGGAGTTCATGTTTTGTTTAAAACCTGCTTTTGATGTTTGTTGTATTTAAGATCTAAAAAAAACTATTCAGTAAATTATTTGTTGGTTGTATAAGAAAAGATGTTTAATCTCAATTTTTTGTCGACTGGCATATGAATTTATTCCAATAATAGATATTGGAAACCGTAACATTTTTCCGGAGACTTACATATCACATGCAAACCCAAGGTCATCAGTCGCAAAGTTTTGACTTAGAAGTCGCTTTGTATGAAAACTACATTGTTATCTACTTCGAATTAAATATTATAAGGAAGCAGGAAGGTTTGTAATTTTGGATCAAGTGTACGAGGAATGAAAATAATTCAATTTTTTTTTCTGATAACTTTCAAAACTATGTTTATTACGAAGTAAACAAACTTTAACAAATCGCATATATTTTTATAAATAATTATATCATAATTAAAAATCAAAGTTACAATACCTAAAAACTTATTTTAGTACGTATAAAGGTAACCTTTCTTCTTAAAATAATTATAAATATTAAACTAGACATAACTGTAACTATATCTAACATTATACTACTAATCTATTCTCTATATGGTGATTTTAGTACTATCGTGTCTTTTCATTAATTTAACACGTGTATGTAATAAAATCAAAACTCACTGAGAATAAGTCCCAAATAGTTGCGCCATTTACTCTTTGTTAGTTTGTAAAATTAATAGGCCTATCTTTCAGAGACTTCGACTTATTAGATGCGTTATCAATGTAAGTCCATAATATACAGTTAATGTAAACACAAAAAATCACAGCAGATATTCTCAATAAACGTAATTTTTTTGTAACTAATTAATTCATGTTGTTTGTGATATTTCTAGTCTAAAGTTGTTGCTGGTTATGTATATCAGCTTTGTCCGACTTAAAAGAAGTTCTCATTTCGATTCGATCTTATATATTAATGTATGTTACGCAATAATTTCAACATTAGTCAACTGATTTTATTGATTCCGATATTGTAGAACACACTATAACACAAAATATAGACATAAATTTAGACAGATTCGACAATTATTTGAAATCGAAGAGGATGACAGCAGAACCAAAAGCGATACATCTAGACAACGTAAATCTTGGTAATAAAATTGAAACCTTTTCCCATCGACTATACTAAAAGTTTTAACGTCACTCTTTTATAGTATTATATATAAATAAAGCCATAGTTTTAGTTGTGTTGGGACGTGGAACTGATTTACTTAATTCGATTCTACGTGGTGGAGCCATCCCGCTGCTATGGTTGTAGCACGAATGGGTCGACTCGACCCGGGAAATACCACGCTCTCACAGAATACCAGCTTAAAATAGCAGCTCAATGTTGCAGTGTTTCATATGGTGATTGTAGAGAACCGCATACCCTTTTTATTGGACACGAGCCATTCCATCTTAGTCCTCATCGGTGACAACACATCTGCATTTTAATTCCCAATCGTGGATGGACTTATTCTATAAAAAAAGTGAATTTAAAAAGCAGATAATTAAGCATATTGAGATAATTAAGTCTATTTTTGCGTTCATGTGATTGCTCGCCTTGATTTAATATCAGATTAATATTAATGTTACCAGCGACAATTAAATTTTTAGTTAAATCAATGGTTTAGTCAAATGTAACCAAATGGGCGGTGCATACCTGTTGTCGTACTTTTTTATTAAAATTCCGAAATTCCGCTCGAGACTAAATCTACTCGGGGCAAACGGAGCAATAACTCAAAGGCGCCCTCTGCCACGCTATCCGTGAATTTCTGCAACATCAGGGCACTTCCTTGAAACCTTAACGCCGTTCAATACTATCTGGAAATGGCAAAGCCGACCTTGCTCTTTCTAACCGAGATACAGGTGTCCTCTCCGGCTGATACTTCGTATATCTCCTACTCGGGGTACAAATTAGAACACTTCCTTGTGCCCCATGCTGGAGTTTGCGTGTACCTCAGAGAGGACATCTGTTATCGACGCCTCAGCAGCATTGAAGGTCAGACAGACCTGTCCATCTTATGGCTGCGAGTAGACAGCGACAAACATCTCCGCGTCTACGGGTGCCTCTATAGGTCCCATAGCCGCAATTTCGACACAGACCATCGACCACGTCCAAATGGCTACGGGCTCCGTGCTACAACAGGTCCCATCCGCAAAGATCGTGATGCTTAGTGATTTTAATGCCCATCACGCTGAATGGCTTGGTTCTCGTTTAACCCATCATGCGGGTAGATCTCTTGATTACTTTGCTTTGGCATATGGTCTGACACAACTGGTCGCTGGTGCAAAATTGCATTACGCCATGAACAAGAGTGCTACCGCCTAGCCTGAGTTCTCGCATCGACGTCTCGGAATGGAAATACCAGCGCTCTTAAAAAGAAGTATAACTCCGCCTCCAGATCCTATAAAAGTGTCATTGTCAAGGCAATATCAGAGCATATCGGCAGAATTGGCAAGAAACTAATTCGTCTTTCTTCGGGAACACGTGCATTATGGTCTCTCGCCAAGGCTATCCACTTCTGTCAGCCATCTCTCCCATCCTCTGCACAGGGAGGACGACTCACTAGCTCATGCCTCAAAGGACAAAGCCGATCTGCTGAGCTCTCTCTTTGCGTGCAACTCGACTCTTGATGACGGGGGGAACACACCGCCGTTACCCAACACTTGGTGCGCAGAGCACTCCTCTCCCTAGATGTCAACAAGTCGAGTGGGTCCTAATGGCGTCCTTCCTATTGTGCTGAAGACGTGTGCTCCAGAGTTGGCACCGGTTTTAACGCGTCTTTTCCGGTACTCCTACTCCATAGGCGTAATCCTGAAATCATGGAAGACAACTTTCGTGTACCTGGTCCCTAAAATAGGTAACCGCTCTGATCCGTCCAACTATAGGCCTATCGCCATCACTTCCTTGTTCTCTAAAATAATGGAGTCCATTATTAACAGCAAGCTAATGCGTTACCTTGAGAATCACCAGCTGATTAGTGATCTTCTGGTCTACCTAACTCATAAATGGGCGGAGGCAGTAGAGTCCAAGTGGGAGGCGTTGGCCGTTAGTTTAGACATAGCGAAGGCCTTCGATCGGGTTTGGTACAAAGCTTTCTTCCTATGGGATTCCCGAGAAATTGCAATGGCATGTGGATTTGCAATTGGATCACCAGTTTTCTTACAGATCTGAACATCAAGGTCTTAGTAAACGGTGCCGGCTCCGATTACAAGCCCATTAACACTGGTGTTCTACAAGACTGCGACTATCGCCAACGCTGTTTCTTCTGCATATCAATGGCATGTTGCAAACGAGTAACATTCATTGTTATGCGGACGACAGCACTGTTGATGCTTTATACACCAGCCGTGCCAATCATGAAATACTGTTCCCATCTCTTGGCTGGGGCTCCCCAGTGCCAGCCCCTTCCACTTGACCGCATCCAGCGCAGAGCGACTCGAATCGTCGATGACCGAATCCTTTCCGATCGGCTCGATCCATTGGCGCTACGAAGAGATGTTGCATCCCTTTGCATTTTCTTTCGCATTTACCACGGGGAGTGCTCTGAGAAATTGTTCGGATTAATCCCAGCCGCCAAATTTCACGAACACACATCGTGGGAGAACTCCAGATACCATCCACACCATCTGGATGATTGACGGTCCACCACTGTGCGATTTATAAGATGTTTTCTTCCTCGCACAACTTACTTGTGGAATCGATTACCACCAGTGATTTTTCCGGACCGATGCGACTTAGGGACCTTCAAGAAAAGAGCCTACTCCTTTTTAAAAGGCCGACCACGCATCTGCAATTCCCCTGGTACCCCTGGTGTTGCAGTTGTTCATGGGTAGCGGTAATCACTTACCATCGGGTGAGTCGTATGCTCGTTTGCCCCCTTTCCTATAAAAAAAATGATACGAGTAGAATACCTCGGTTCCAATAAAAAGGGTCTCTTTTATGTGAGATTTATGTGAGAGTGTTGACCTTGGAACATATTATGCTGATCTAAGGCATAGTCCTTCCCCAGTCTGGTCGACCTATTTTTGTTGCAAACAATATTTTGCTGCAGCGTAGCTCTACTCCATTACAAAGGTATGTAAATAAGGAACGGTAAAATACAAAATCAAACTATGTGCCGACGCCGAAGTAGAATTGGTATGCAAGAGCCAGCCTCAGGTCCGTGAAGTAGCGGTATTCGGGTTAGAAGCATAATGGAACAATAACCTGGGAATGACTTAACAATGGCGGTTAAAGTCTCACGACAAAAAATGCTCTACTCTCAAATTATAGTGCAAAAAACGCGAGAATAATTTTCGGTATGTTCCATACCAGCGATTGTAACTGGGAGCGCCTAGTTTTGTATCATTATGCTAATATGTTTTTGATTTACGCAACTCATTATGTGCCTTTTTCTACTACTATTGTAGTTTTTTTTTTATGAATTTCAAGATACCATTGAGCTGATTCAACAAAGACGCTAAAACGTAATAGGAGTTACTTAAATTGGCTTTTATTTCAGTCATTTCAATGCATTTGGACTAATGAATTAGTTTGATTTACGTCTGTCTGATTTATGTCTGTCAGCTGATCACAGATAAAACAGTTATGGAAAAGCTAAAAGCTAAAGAGTAAGTTAAAGAGAAGAGTCCGATTTGCTATTCCAATGCTAATTGATGGACTCTACTAGAACTAGATTTCCTCACTTGAATATTCCTACACATCATTCGTCATCAGTCTGTAGAATTCCACTGCTGGTCATGTGCATCTCTGAGCATCCTCTTGCTTGGCGGGCAGATTAACGATGCAGTACAACATACACGCAACTTTGAGACTGCTTCCTTTCATCTGTATTTTCGTTTGGAAGTGAAGAAACGAGATGTTATATTCGTCATAATTTAATTTTTTGTGGA